GGGCCGGCGGTGCCGCGTGAGGCTGGCGGCCGCTCAGAGGCCGGTGTGCCGCCGCCGAGGCGGAGGGCGGTGCTGTGGGCGGCCGGGGGAGCCGCGCGATTGGCCTCCGCCCGGCGGCTGGCTTGTCAGTTGGGCTCCAGGGGTGGCCCTGGGAGCCTCTCGCCCAGCCCTCTGACGGGATGAAGCCTTTAGGGGGATGCGGCGCTCTTCGCGTTTTGATTAAAGCCCCTCATCTCCCTTCAGTCTGAAGGCAGGGCGCCGGGGAGGACGGGTCGGAGGGGCCTGCGCAAGGCCGGGCCGAGAGGGAGGGGTGTGTGAGAGAGAAAGCCCCTCTTGGTATACTACGTATGGCTCTATAGGAGAATTCTTCTCTGGGAATATAGTGGAAAGGACGGAGCTGGTATAAACTGAAGGCGCCCGGGTTTAATTCACACTTGTGGGTGCCCAGCATGGAGATGCAGAGATGGTCCACAAGGTGGAAAACGAGAAGGTGGCCCTGGGACTCGGCTGTAACCGTGCTCATCACCTTCGCTGTCCTTCTCCGGGCTGCAGAGGTCAGAGGAGGTAAGAAAGCAAAGGGGAGCCGGGGGGTCCGGTCGCCTCTCTCCCCGCCCCGGGCAGAAGGAGCCAGGGCACGGCTGGGGCCGCGTTTCGGAGGAAACCTGTCGGAGCGGCTCCCGAGGCTCGGGGCCGGCTCGGGGCGCGGAGACCCGCTGGGAGCCCCCGGCAGCGCGGGCAGGGACGTCCCTCCCAGGTGCCGCGAAGGGGTGGCTCCCGTTCAGCCTCAGCGTTTAACTTTGGATGTGGTTTTAATGCAGTGAAGGGGATGCACTGGCGGGGTGGGAAGATGGAAGAAATACTTGTTGAACAGAGTGACTTCTCTTCCAGCGCTGAACTCAGTTTTGTGGAGCGTGCGTACGGTTTTCGGTTTTGTTGAACTTAGAGAGTGGTTACTCTGCTCAAGTTCACCAAGTTGTGGCTGAAATGGAGCGACAAGTATCTGCCTTCTCCTCGGAGGGGCGAGGAAGGGGAAAGTTGGGGGGTGGAGGCTCTCTGCTCTCATTTTTCTCCATTCTCCGCTTTTTAAATTTTTTTTTCACTTTGCAAAGTGTTCCAGTGGGCAAAAAGTTTTCCAGGACGCGAGGGGAGCAGAAAATACGTTTGAAGGGGCCCTTTGCCAGACGTTGAGGAGAGCAGCTCCCGGCGGTAGCGGCGCCCCGCAGGTGGTGTGGGCAGAGCCGGGCCCGCAGATGCCCCGGCGGGGGGGGCGGGTCGGGAGGCTCAGCCTGACGGTCTCTGGGCTCCACAGGGGCGGTGTCAGAGCCGGGGCGCCGTCCCTAGCCTCCTTCCCCCTTTGCAGCCTCCCCGGGGGGGGGGGGGGGTCGAGTGGTCCCTTAGGTGTCCGTGGACCTGGTGGGTAGGGTGCAGTCCGCGCGGGACTTGCAGTGGGAACAAGAGCCAGGCAGCTTCAGCAGAAAGGAATCGCTGCCCCCTCTCGTCCCCCGCACTTCTCCCCTCCGCACTGCTACCCGGCACGGTTCAGCCCTCGGCCGCCCGCCGCGCCGTCCCATCCGGGCGCCGGCGAGGCGCTCCGGCTCTTTGAGATGTGCTCGCACATTTCGCGGGGCTGCAGTGTACGATCTCCGGTGGCGGGAGCGCTTTCCTCCCCGACCGAGGGGAGAAATGCTGCCTTTTCCTCCCTCCTTCCATCCCTCCCTCCCGCCGGAGTCCGCAGGCGCATCTGGGGGCCAGTCTGGCTGGGATTGAGGTTTTTGGGTCTGACATCCATGAAGGGGCTTAACTCGCCGAAGAGAAAGGTTCAATTTTTACGCATTTATTATTTTAACGAGGTATTTATCGATCTGAATTCCCACTTTCTGAATCAACAGGAGTCCTGGAGGGAGCACAGTAAAGTGACCAGTTTTCATTCAAGCCCTCTATACCTGAGCACAAGCTTGACGGTGTCAGATCCATCAGGGCTTCTGCCCCCTGCTGGCCCCGTTTCTGACAGGGATTGGATTGGGTCAAATTTCATCCTTGTTGCAATTCCACGGACCCCAGTGGAGTTACACCCAGGGTGAATTAACCTCGCAGAGCTCCCAGGATGCGTCTCCTCAATTACTGTGTCGAAACTAAACTTCTTCAAGAAGCAATACTGTTCGCAAAAGCATGATAGATTTTTTATACCACTTTTCATGTGACCATTCACAGTAGAACTGACTTAATTAAGTAGGATTTATGTAGATTATCTTTACATAACGGGTTGGATGCAAATGAAAAATTAAAAGAAAATCTAAACCCAAGCAGCCCAGGAAAAATCAACACAAGTTATCTGGTACTTACTGAAATACATTCAGCAACATTAGGCAGACTAATTTGGTTTTGATAACTCTACTAAATTAAAAAGCTATATTAAAAATCTTTCCCTCTAGCCTTATGTGTAAAGGACATTTCAGAAACATAAAACTACAGGCCTCTTGTGTTTGTAGAAGCATTCTGAAAAGAACTTACTTCTTGAACTTTTCTGAAATACAGTGTGCCATTTGCTTAGAAACTACAGGGAGCTGTGTGTTTAGGGCTTGATCTGTTATTGAAGTCAGCAAGAGTTTTTCCATTGACTACAGAGGGAGTAGAATTTGACCTAATTTCCCTAACAGAGTACAAGGGAGATATTTCTGAATCATCTTTTATGTATTCTAATCTTATTTAAAGTAGTTAAAAGATAAATAGGACATAATGATTCATATTTGAAAGTAGGAGAGGGAAAATATTGAGGAATAAAATAAAATAGCATACTGCAGCAGGTAAACAATATGACTTAAATGACAGTGCTGGGTAAAATATGAATCATTGCCCTTATAAACTCTGTCAAATTAAATGCTATATTCTTCAACTGACTTTTCATAAACTACCCCTATGTAAAGAAAATTACATACCCCTATGTAAAGAAATGGTGTATTCATATAAAGTGTTACTCATATAGCAGTGACTTCTTTTTAAGACAACAGAATCCATTCTGTGTAGAGAAACCTCAAAAGATTCCTAAAATTCTTGACTTTTTTTCAAGGTTCTTTATTTAACACAAAAGAGAAAGAGAAGTATGAGGTATCTTTCATAGTACCAAGAAAGAGGGTGCAAAGATTTAATTGAGCTCTTGAGTTATTTCTTCTTTAGGCAGAAAAAGTTACAGAAGTGAGAAGCAACTGAATGGGAAAACTAGTGACTCATATTTGGTCAGCTCAGTGCCCACCAGCTCTTAAGCAGCTCCTTTTAGAAAATGTTTTTGCTTTATGACTTGGCTAAAGCAAACAAAATTCAGTATTTTAAAAGACATCCTTTGATTTCCTTTCCCCTTCCTCACCTTTAATACTTAATCTGTTGGTAATGTGTTTGGAATGAATAAACTCATTTAGTCAAAATGGCATGGCTTCAACACTATAAATTTTTTGTAAGGGCCTGGCATCAATGCACTATTGTGATGCTGATTTAAATTTCATGGGCAAGAAATGAAAAATCAGTCTTTTTATTATTTATGAGCTTTTTCAAGCAAATGGAAATCCAGCTCTTAATCTAAGTGCAAAAAGATTTAAGAATCCTTACTGAAAATGAGGCTATGAAGCTATATATAGAAAATACACTTTGGACCTTCTGTAAGCGACAGGCAGATTTGTTTCTAATATAGAATAGATACTTTTTACAGTCGTCTTAGGAAATACAAAGGTTCCTTGTACTTCCCACACACAGGCTTGGAAACTAGTGGGAGTTCTAGGTGCAGAAGGAATGCAGAACTGGGCCCACTAGTGATGGCAAAAGGAGAGTTTTCTTTGTGGATGCACACTTAACACGGTTACTTGTTTGTAATTGCTTAGTAAGTTACACTGGGAAGATACAGATCTGTTTCTTGAATGAAAACTGTTTAATGTATCTGGCTAGTCTAAACTTGTACAAAAGGTGTTTTAAACTAGAAAAGTATGAATCTCTTCTCAGAACGGTTAGTGATGTAAAGCACTTTTGATTTTAACTGATCAATTCACTTTTAAGGTTGAAAAAGAATATAAACGTTTTGTTGTTGTTCCTTTATTTTACAGTGAAATAGTCTTGTGTGCTAATTTTAATTTAACAAAATGCCATTAACCTTCAGAAACAGCGGACATACAGGGGTTTCTCAGATGAGTATTCACAAAGTGAGCAAAAGCGATTAAACAAAAGGTGATTTCACTAGATTCAGCTAGTGGTCCTAGCTGAAGTTATTTCTGAGTCCCAGGGATCAGCAGGTGAAATGGTCCAGTCTTCCCAGTATAGTGCAAGAGAGACCTGCATGTATATGTCTGTTTTGCTATGTAATTTAGATTTTTTAAATTGTTTCTAAGGTAAAATAATTATTTCAGCTTCAGCAGCAGACATCTGACACAGAAAAATGACTGGTATGTGTTGTAGATTCTCTAGAGCATGAATCTTTGCATTTACTTTAGAAGGAGACTTCACAAGGATCCCAGAAAGGACTATTCAGGCTGCAGGAAGCTATGTCTTTTTACTAGCCCTGCAGAAAAGAAGTTTCTCAACTTCAGTTTTGTGTATATCTTAACAAATGTAACTGTATATAAGTACATATAGAATACCCACAAATGTTCAAATATTCAGTGGTTTTGGCTTGAAATGATCTCTGTGCCTAGCACCTGCTATTGGAATGTCACTAGAAAAAATAATCTTTGCTGTAAAACCTTTCCTGGTGCTCTGGTGTTTTCTGATTACAGAAAAAAAAAAAAAAAAAAAAAAAAACATTGTTGGTAAAATTGGTGTCTGTAGCAGTTGTAAAATGTAGGAAAGGAGTTGTCGTAGTCAGTTGCACAATTGTCTTGCCCAGAATTATTTGGTCTCCTCCAAATAGGGCCCTTAATTCTAACAAGGTTGCAGCATAATAAAAGAGCCGTGACATTACTACTGAAGTGAAGTTATACCTAAAACACACTGGAGCAATTATGTCTCTCCCGGATTTGTTTTGTACAGTGGTGAACAGTAGGGTTTCCATCTGCCAGCAAGATTAAGAAGTTGCTTTTCTTTTCTCTGTAAAGCTCTCTGCTTCTTTTCAGAAGAAATCCTCCCAGCATTGGTTAATTTATTGTTGTTCTGAGTATTTGTTGATAATAGGTTCTGAGTATTTGTTGATAATAAGGGGGAATAAATTAAGCAGAGCTTGGGACAAATCTCTAATGTTCTAAGAGTGTGAAATCTCATGCAGTGATAAAGATTTGCCCTCTGGATGGACACAATAGAGAGCAGTGGCTTAAAAGGAATTAGGTGAACACACATGCTTGTTGCAAGGGCTTATAACTGTACTACTCAGTATTAAATACGAAGTTTACAGACTGTAAATGTAAGGATTAATTGTTGACCCTGTTATTACAATAGTAGTAAAATCTGGCAGAACTTAAATTCTTTTTAGCACATTATCACACATAAGGGGTTGTAAAAACCTTTATAAATTCTAGGTCTGGGACTTCACTGTATGTCAAAGTGTTAATGCATACAGTATGTGAAATAGAAGTTACTTGGCAGAGCTGATA